GCAACTCGAGCGTGTGTGTGGTAACGACCACGACAACAACTTGTGTGTGGTAACGACCACGACAACAACAAAAAGCAAAAAGGGAGCGCGTTATTAGCCTAGAACACAGATGACTACGGTGACGCAACACTTGTGGCCGAAAGACGCATTGTGAAAATACAACAGCCTCAATTTCATGATAAACGCGGCGGCTTGAACCACCGCATTCAAGAACTTGCCAGCGTCGTCTGCTGTTGGTGATGGTTGCCGACCTCAAAAACTGAAACTCCGCCAAACGGTTGCCAGCCTCAACAGTCGTCGCGTCGTCCAACCAGAGTGCGCATCAGAGCCGCTCAAGCAAAGCTCATGCAGCTAGCGCTTGCGTTACATTTTCGCGCCGGGCCGCCATTTAGCTCTCCGTTTGCGGGCGGCAGGGGTCCCGCAACGTGCAGAGCGGGTGTGCGGCTAGCGCGTGTAAGGGCCCTAAGGCTTCTCCTTGCTTCCCAAAGATGTAGAGGGTGTGCGTCGACCTCAGGGACGGTGCTTGATTTCGTTATTTGTTTCGTGTACGTTTCTTTTCGACGCCTTATTTTGTATCACTGATCACTCAAGTTTGCTATATCTGAGGCATTTAACCTTTGTTCAAGTAATTTTCTGAATGCATGCCATTGTTTGTTTTGGCCACGCCAATCATTTTACGTTATCTGGTCTGTGTGTACGGTGGCGCATAGTATGTAATGATCACTGCTTAGATTTTCTTACCACAAGCTTAGATTTTCTTACCCATACCACCTCTTCACAATTTTCGAACATCGTTAGACCGGGAATCATGTTTCTGGAGTTACTGTTTTCTAGTCTTGTTGTTGGCACTGCTGGATCTGTCACGCTTGTGATACATCGAGTTTATATTTACTGTGCCATGTTCTTGTCTTTGGCATCCTGTGTTACGTATCCCCAGCTTGGGTCTTTTGCATTAAAGTCCCCCCCCCCCTCACTATGAGCGAGTTCTGCTTAGGTAGTTTTGCTGCATATTTGAAGGGTTCGTCGAAGGTTATCTTGCTTTGTCGAGGTGGGCTATGAAAGTTGAAGACGAAAATACCTTTATTTTTCTTCTTTTTATATAATATTTCTGTAATGAGTTGAGGAATTTCGATTCTTTCGGTTAGTTTGGGCTGTATCGCGGTTAGATATTTGTGGACTAACGTCACTACTCTTCATTCGTTGTTATTATTCACAGCTTCACCATGAGGCTTGTAGTTCTGCATGCTTGGCCTTATTCTAACCTCTTGGACAGCTATCAACGCATGTGGCCTCGGCTGCATGAACACCAGCTGTGAAAGCTTACCTGTTTTCTGTCTGTATCCCCGGCAGTTCCACGGCTATATATTGCACTTTTCGTAGCTTTTGTTAGTCGTTTAGGCATTGAAAGTAGCTTCTTCTGTCACAATCAATTGGCCCGGCGTGTTGTATGCCTTATCCGCTTTTTTCTTTATGTGGCTATCATTGTCATGCTTTCGCGACGCCTTCATGAGTTTTATCTGCTGAGCTTGTATTTTTTTCTTCCGTAGCATCAAGTTATCCGTCTACCTGCCCCATGACCTGTTTGACGATAAAGGGAACTATTTCTTTACGGCTTCTTCCAGAATCGCTATTGTTACCACTTGCTCCTGTAATCCAGCTTGCTGAAAATCACTGACTTGCCTGGGATCTTCTATGGTACGCACTTCTTTCCTCAGTCGTATACGTTCCCGTGATGCAAGAGCAAACTACAACTGACCGTTTTTCGCCTCGTCGTCTGCTTTCTTTCATGCTTCATGGTGTTCACTTGCGTTGCCACTGGCTGACTCAGCTTGTATCTCCTCGTCAGACAACGGGAAATCCTCGGCGAAACCTCCTGCAGAGCCCAGTTTTGTGTTCAAGTCTCGATCGTCCATGTCCATGGCTTGCTTCGCCGTTTCCTGGTCGTCGTTTGTTGTGTTATTGGCTGTTGCATCAACACGCCCAAGACAGTTGCTGGTAGTCTATGCAGGGCTCCACGGTCGGTCGCAAGTCCTAGCCTGGCTGCTGAGTTTGCCTGGTCCTTGGTCACTTCAGAACGAAAGGAATCCGTGTCGTTGTCCGGATATCTTGGTGTCAGAACAATCACGGCATACTTCCAGGCGCGCTGTACGATTGCTCTAAACAAGCCACAAAATTTAACGCAAACACAGGTAAAATTTGAGGAGGCGAGACGAACGCTTCCGATCCACCCAACGCCATCTAGCGCCCTTCGACGGTTTGTAGCCGATTTCATCCTTCTTCTTGTGATGCATCCAAAAAGGTTGCTTGTTAATCGACTTTGATATACCATAGTGACTCAAGATTGTTTTCGCTTCGGGCAAACTTTCATATATGCACAGAACCACAAAACAGTACGCCATTGCGGACAAATAGGTTTTCACTTCAATCACGGAAATGCGTGTTCTAAATGCAAAAGCACTTTTTGCCGGGCTCTGTCAGCCATTCGCTAGGATCCATCCACGGCCCTCTTCCATAGCAACAGCTGTGGGCGCGTGCGTCCCTAGCAACCGGAGCCACCACTATGTCACGCTTTGGCATCGGCAGCAGTCAGCAACATCTGTGGGCGTGCGCACTTATACTTGCCCCTAGCAACTACAGCTCCGACCACCTCGACTTGAATGTGACTTGCTACCGCCTCAATGCAGTGCGTTTGAAACGCGTTTGAAATGCGTTTGAAACGAGTTTGTCCTGCCAGCGTTGGTGTTGATAAGACGTGGAGATTATGGCCGTCATGTACAATGACATATTGTGAGAAGAGAAGAGCCTGCACCACTACTGTATCGCAGGTATGTACAATGACAATAGAAACAGGTGCTGACGAATGTGTAAATCAATGATTACGGTACGAATCTTCATCTCATCATATTGCGTCACGAAAATTGCCACGCCGTGTACTTTCGGCGTCAGAAATTCATTCGCATTTCCTCACGATTCCTTTGGTGGGTGGCAGCATTTTTTGGCGCGTTACGACATTTTCATAGTGTAGACTTACTCTTGCGGCTTGACAGAAATTTTTGCAGTTGTCTATTATAGGCTGGTCTCCCAAGTCTCACAAGTAGCATACGTGCGCGTAGCAGCAATGAATCTGTGTTCAGTTGTGGTGTTGTTTCGTTCATTTTGACCATAGCGAAATGCATGATGCATCGCACTTCTCACTGCTTAAGCAAAAACTGGTCTACCATTAAACACTTTTATTCATTTTTAGAAGACGTAGTCGACGCCAGCTTAAGAAATAGACCTTAAATATACAGTACACCACCCTACATACCGTCCGAGACGGGTGTGTTTCACTTTTTTCGCCGAGATACATACCGACACACTGATATCAAATGATGAGACTTTTCTGAGATGTTGTGTAAACAGTTCGAAAAAAATTCTACAGCCTACAATCTCAAGCCTGCTTTTCAAATTTCTCGCATGAATGCAAAATTGTTTTATAAGCTGGTTGGTTTCTCGAATAAAAATATACTCCGACTTAACACAACAAATTAAAACAAAAAACTACACAGACGTCTCGCCACCTATGTGGGTGGCACCCTCAGTCTGCATTGATGATGCACAGAGTACGCACTGAGGCATTATCAGTGCATACCGAGAATGCCAACCGCATAGGTGGTGGAACGTCTGCGTACCTCTTATTATAATTTGTTGAGTTAGGTCAGAGTTTAATTTAGTCATGGTATCGCATGAACGGAGTAAATGATACTGCATTCCGGCTGGTTTGGTGACTGAGCTAAGCATTTAGGTCTTGGTCATGAATGATACATATGCGCAAAATACAAGAACAACAGAAGGTGTGGATGCACTGTCGTAGGTGCATATAAAGTGTAAGTTTACTTAAGGCTACGAAAACGGCTATCTTTCATCACCTCATATCAAACTCAAAGCACATATTGCACCTTACGCGGGCATTTCCAAAAATACAAATATATCAAGAGCGTACGAAGTTTATACTGGCCCTGTACACTAGTGGTTGCCAGGTTGAAATACGAAATATAGCCAAAAAAAACTAAACAGAAAGTTAACGAACAACAGCAAAGGAGGTAAAAGTTGTAAGTAATGGCCAATTGTGAGGCTAAACAACAGCGACATTTTTATTCAAATAATTAGATGAAAAAGCATTTAGTTTTGAAATGATCGAATAGTACAACTTCAGCACTGCAGTATAGAAAGATGCAAAATGGAAACGTAAATTGTTGTTTTTTTCCAAATCATTTCTTGCATGTGCGTGTAGTGTTTTCGAGCTTTATGAGCAAAATATAGTAAATAAGACATGAAAAAGTTCAAAATTACAGCTTCTGGGTTTGAAGAACAAGAGACTGCCTTTTCACAAAAATTATTTCCGTAGTAGGGAATTTCATGCAGGTGTACAAGTAGCTCGCCACAAATCTGCTCTATAAAACAAATTTACGGAGATCCTACTTCATGTTCAACACTCTCAAATGTTCTGTTTCCTTTCAGTTTCAGTTTCAGCTTGTTTAGCGTATTCCGGTTTAACAGCTTAGAGTTTTTCGCATAACTTCAAGGTCTGCAAAGGTAGATCCAGTGGAAATCTTTCCAGAGTCATGTCCGTGAGTCGTTCTGCTTTGGTAATCTCAGAAGCAAATTTCATTTTACACGTCGCAAAGAAAACTTCACCGGGATGTTTTTCAAACTTGTGTTTGAGTGCCACTGAATGTGGTGTGGTGTCGCCATATATATGTACGATTTGGTGCAAATTAAAACACAGGAAGTTTTGCTTGAGCTTACAGTAGAAAAAAGTCAATTCTGGCTTCACGAAAAATCACTGAATAATTGGTAAAGATTTTTCTTGGCTTCAACAAGATTACTAAAGTACGAAGATACTGCATACATGGGTAGCAAATTGTGTATAACTTTGTCGATGATAACATTAATGCTACTTTGGAGTTAACCGCTGCGTAATCGAAATATAAAATATCGAAAAGGACGCAAGCACTCACGGTCAGTAAAAATGCGAAGCCTGGTTGACGTGCTTTATGCCTCGGAGCTACTTTACGGTATACAGAGTGAATTTCGAAACAAGTGATGAATACATATAGCTACAGATTCCAGGTGCAGCTGTGGAAATTTATTTGGCATGTCATCGATTCATTAGGGAGACTCTGAGCAACAAAAATTCTTAGTTCGAGAAATAAAAGCATAGTCTCAAAACGACTGGGGTCGTTGGCATTCATCAATGCATTCATCAGCACCTGGAGATTCGTTCTCTTACCTAAGCTCCCGATATTCAACAAAAAAATCATTAAAGAACAAACAGCCGTTCACGCAAGGCGTTGATTCCTCTGAACGTGCCTTTTTGCTTGTGCAAGTTGGTGTATTGTACGCTGAGCACCGGACAGAGGCAGTAGATGCCGAGGGAACACATTCTATCCTCAGAAGCAGAGTAATTTTTAAAATTTCATTGTGTCATCGTCATTTTAATGTCAGCTTCGACATTCTTGGCGTGCAGTAGAATGGGCGCGTGAATATCCGCCAGGCCGAGGAATGACTCGCTTCCTTTGCGGAACTAATGAGAACACTGCATCATGAACATGGAGAGAGAGCAGCTGACTTTATATTTTCATTTATTGACGAATAGAAAAGAATCCAAAGACAACAATTATAAGCGTTTCAAATTTCATCGCCTATGCTGCATGCTCTCGCAGAGGTGGTGTCACGTGTGCAAAATATACTCACTTAAAAAATTTGCATGGCAGCAAAAACACGTTCTGAAGCCATGTAAAAATATTTGCAGTTGTGAAACAAAAATAATCGATTTGCCTTCTAAGATTATGAAATCGGTTCCATCGACAGTAGGTTTGAATAGTCGGCAGAATGTACAAAAATATTAAAACCAATGAGCTCGTCACTGAACTTCGCAGAGTAAATGGTACAACAAATGGCACTTTTCATAGCGGAATGCGTAGGCCTACTTTCAAACTTATTGATGTCGGATCTATTACAGCGCAGTTCTTAAGGCTAAGAAACTGCGGCTTATTAAGCAGTTCACAGGTACGTAGTTTTATATTCAAGTAAATAAGACTTCGATAGAGGAGGAACACTCAGCAGTTCTTTTGAGTGTGGGAGGACACGAAAGATGATGTTCATTTTGTAGGGTGGCGTTGCTTTTCAAAGTTTAAGAGTATACGTCTGAAGGAAAAGAGAAGTTTAGACAATAGTTTCTATAAACGCGAAACATTGCTTTGCGCACCGCAAGCACTTTTGGCGTTTGCCTATCTATCTATCTATCTATCTATCTATCTATCTATCTATCTATCTATCTATCTATCAATCTATCTATCTATCTATCTATCTATCTATCTATCTATCTATCTATCTATCTATCTATCTATCTATCTATCTATCTATCTATCTATCTATCTGTCTGTCTGTCTGTCTGTCTGTCTGTCTGTCTGTCTGTCTGTCTGTCTGTGTCTGTCTGTCTGTCCACCTGTCTGTCTGTCTATGTCTGTCTGTCTGTCTGTCTGTCTGTCTGTCTGTCTGTCTGTCTGTCTGTCTGTCTGTCTGTCTGTCTGTCTGTCTGTCTGTCTGTCTGTCTGTCTGTCTGTCTGTCTGTCTGTCTAGCCGTTTACATGTGGGTGCTCTCGCGATCACCGTCTTCACTTGGCTTGAACCGAAAGTAGTATGAGAAGGTAAGATGGTTTGACGAATTTAAAAATCAACAAAATTAGCGTTGCTTCACCAGAAGGAATATATTTTACCGGTGTTTGACAGCAAGAAAGCAGTAATTGGTTTATTTGTTGATTTTCGCATGGCTTTCGACTTGGTGAATCATGAGGTCGTGCCAACGTTTTCGTTACCGCACAAAAAATCGTTGTTTTTATATTTCTTGGAAAGATCCTTCTTGCCAGTTTCAAAAGTAATACAGCAAGCATTGCAGCAAGCCAAGCTTTGCACATTGAAATGATCTTTCCGAAAATACATGCTTTGGCGCAAAGTTTATTTAGAACAAAGTAAAATGGCAAAAGTGTGGAATAACTGGTCGCCAGCTGGTGAACAGTGCAATAAAAACACTCTAAATGTAAAAATATTCAAAAGAAAGAAAATTCAGAATATACATTTTAAAGATAAATGATCCAGCAGTATTATAAATCTAAGAAATGTGGTATAAACTGTTGCTTTTTGCATAGACAAAGATAATCAGAATTGAGGTGCTCCTTTTTTGCTCGTACCATGCGGTGAAGCATTTTGGGGATTTTGGTGATACAGAAGGGCACTAGTACTTAGTAAATTTTTGTTGTCTTGCGATAATAATCTACAGGTATTCTAATATATATGAATACCCTTGATGCAAATAATCCTTCTATAAAAGTGATTACCAATGAACTTCGTTTTTTCATCTAGCGTCACCTGTTTCTATGAGTCACCTCACTGCACATAGGCTGGCATTTCAATATATGCACCGAATCATCAGTTTCTGAATTTTTGCGCATATCATAATAACGAAGGTGAAACTCGCGTGCAGCTCTAAAACGTTTTGCACTGCTACGTATTCAGGGCCCAGAAGTGCTCCGGAGGCCTTCTTGTCCTTTGGAGAAGCTCTGAAACTAGCGCCAGCACTCCGCACCGTTGCGGAGTGTGGACCACGCACGTAACCAGATTATATTTATGATTTTGTTCACAAAGGTCCGAAGCTATACGCACTTGCAGCGGAGGAGAAAACTTGAGGATGTAAACAAAACGAAGCCATGAACGGCTGCGGTTGACTCAGGTTGACGCAATACGTCGTCGCCGTAAAACTTTAAGCTGAGGTGCTGTCATGCGCGAACTCGAAACTCATTCTTTCTGAACCCAGGTTTGTTTGCCAGACGGTTTCGAGCAGCGCATGTGTTTTATAGCGGTGGTGCACACCCATGCGTGCGCGTGATGACAATGTCGTAGGAGCCACACGTGGCACAAGATGGGACCCTATGTCTGATTTAACGGTGCAAGCAAAACTAGAACTGCTTTAAACTGTTCAAGAAGGCCACGTAGACATTTTAAACAAGTGGCAGATATTGCTCAATATTTTTGCAGAACAAGTTTCCTCACTCATAGGAAGAGCTTTCTATCGCATATCTGACATAAATTGCTGGCCATTATGACTGCTCAACATAGTCACATTGCGAAGTGGACACTTTAAATGAATATTTGGCTTGCAAAGCTTCTTTATATTACAGAATTGCGCAGTGGCTGTAGCATATTCACAAAGTGCAAACACTTCAGTCAAGTTCGCCAGCCTAGTGTACTTTTTCTACAATACACGCACATTATTTTTGTCAAACGTCTGCAGCAAACCACTATATGGCCAAAACGGGCAAATTCGAACTGAATCTGAAAGTTAAATGGCTGGACTAACTATTAGAAAGTTCTGGGTGCACGCGAACCAAAGTTAACATGCCGAAATTGATGATCCAAAAGCATTGATTACCTGTGATCAAATCGAATAGGTGTGGTAAGAAAAGTGTTAAATTAGTTAGATATTTAGAGTGTTTCTGGTTGTGGGTTAAATTTACTGCGGTCATACCTGTCCCATCGGCGAAAAGTTGTCCAAATAAATAACTCGCCGTCCCGAATTGTGCGACTGATTTGCGGTTTTCGACAGGGCAGCATTTGGCGACCTTTTATATTCAAGCTTTACATAAATACGTCGTCGCCATTAATAATATTCCAAGCTTATCATATATGCCAATGACATAATCCTTATGTTTTTCTGGAAACAGCATCGGCTGCGTTATCTCAAATTATAATGACACCCTAATTAAACTGCAGCGGTGGTCTTTATACAGCTCCCTGAAAAATAATGAAAATAAAAAAGGCGGTCACGTTTTGACCAAAGAATAAGGCAATCCCTCCTCATTCAGACAAATTTTTAAATTGCCGCCCTGTTGATACTGTAGATCACTTTAAGTGCCTTGGTATTGTATTTAGTGCGCACATGTGTTGGGAAGCTCAGCAAACTCATTCCTAACAAAATTAGCTTGAATAACGGAAATAGTCTGTCGGCTCAAATACATTCTCTATCCAAAACTTAAAATCATAATCTACAATTCTCTCTTCTTTTCATATCTTAACTATTGCCTGCTTGTCCAAAGTACGACTTCATTTTCTAATCTAAAAAGGTTAGCGTTATGCGGGAACGGTATCTATGAAGCATTCATAATGCTGGATATAATGCAACAACTACAGGCTTCCTTGATAAAGCTGTTATTGTACCAGCTCACAAATTATACTATTATCGGCTGAGTTTTAGATATAAATATGAAGTAAGACATAACATATGTAATTTAGACACCCTAGCACATTTGAAAAAGAATAAGCACTGGTATAAAACGACAATGGGAATATTGGAAAATGTCACACCCTAAATAATTATGGCGTAGAGCGTTTACGTTATTCTTTACCATCATTGTTAAACCCTTATCAGTTATTCGATTTTTATTTCTTTTGTTGTTCCTCAACTGCTCTTAGAATAATGTTTGCATAAGAAAACTAATTTTGTTGATTGTAGCGTTGTATTCTTGTATTCTTTTTGTAGATTATTGTATTATATTCCGATAGTAAATATATGAACACTTCCCGTTGAATTTTGCCGCCGACGCCGGCGTCATTTTCTCTATACTTATACGTGTCTATGGGTAAACGCAAAAAAAAAATAATCGAGAAAAAGGGTCTGATGCACGGAATTGAATGTCGAACCTCTGCACCGTGAATGCGAGGCGTTAAGCCCTGAGCCACGAAGGAGCACCTTCTAGAACATTCAAACGGCAAGCTATTTATACCTATCACGTCCGTTGACCGGTGTCTTGGGGGGAACTATTGTGTTTTCAGCGTTACCAGCAAGATGGCGCAATGAGCGCGCGTCACCACAATTTCACGACGCGGGGGCGCGCCCTCTCATTTCTCACGCGTTCTTTGCCCAGCGAAAAGGAGGGGAATGAACGCTCACTCAGGCGCTCGTATCTCGCAGTGGGGAGGATTGGATGTATTGGCTGGCCTTAAGCTTTGACTGGAAGGATTCTCCTGTAGTCAGTGGTCGCAGGA